TTGGTGGTGTTGGGGACGGTAGAAAACGCATTATTTATGGCTGACGTATCCAAGCAACTCGGTCATATACTTGTTGCATAATAAATGATTGCCGTTCTCATGTTAGGCTTACCCAGCTCTGAACGAGTACGACTTAGCTTGCTTTCCACTTCATGTTTCGTTGTTAAATTCTATAAAATTAAATTCAAGTAGCTTTGAAAACCTAGAGCAAGTTTTTGCGGTCCTGAAAGATGGTATTAGGAATGAATATAGCTTCGTCATGGTATCCACCTTCAATATTCTTCACCAGCAGGGTCAATACTGTAGTGGCATGATCTTCAATAATACACTTTGGTTGCTAGTTGTTAAAACAGTAAGATGCACGGGCGGACTTCATAATCAAGGTCAAAGCAATTGCGTTAAGTTTACATGTTGCGAAGCTTCAATAGCCGATGCATAGTGAGAGACCTTGTTCCTCTGACGCCTTGAGGCGGAATGGTTTAGTGGAGAGTACGTTGTTGGCGCGAACGGACATACCTTACTCGATGAAAAGCGATAGATCAGACGCCCAGTTGAAGACATGCCACAATAAGCACACGAGTGCGGCGTCCGGGTATTCCGTCGAACTTGTGGTCGTCATGTGATGGTGATCCATTATTATTCGAGTTTACACATTCATTCACGATGCAGCTTTCTTTACAAGCCCTCCCTTCACTTTTGTCATGCAGTGCCTCTCCAAAGTGCGCGCCATATCGAGCAGCCCTCCTTTCACGATATTTTTGTAAAGCAAAGAACCGAGCAATCACTTTTTAACTTGTGTGCCTCAAGAGTCGCGTATTTCTTCGCTAGAAAAATTCAATTGCTGTCCAGGAGGTAGGCGAGGTGCATGGCGATCTTCTTCATCACAGTGACGATACGCGTACTAGACGGTTGACTAAGTATATACGTCTATAGATTTGCGTCTTCGACAGACTTTGACGCGAGGAATATCCTGAGGTTGATCGCTGTTGTAGAGATAGGCAAATCGTATTGGCTGAAACCAACTACTGAATGCCCATGTTCCTGTGCTGTATTGTACTTAAAGCAAATGCGCGTTTATTCAATATTGTATCAATGAGCTGTAGCTGTGACTTATCGTTTGTACAATGCTCAAACATGCTTCATATGATACCCTTAGTGATCTTATTATTGTTGAGATAACTTTGCAGTTGTATATGGCAAAAACATAAGAATTAGTTTAACGACAAAATTTATTACTTACGTACCAACTTTGTCGAAACTTTTCACAGTATGCAGCATAATGTGCCCTCGACTTACTATTGTATGACTCTTATACATATTATCCGACAAGTTTCGACAAAATATGTCGGAGTGCTGTCGAAATGATATTTTCCCACCCAATCAACCCGATTTGCTGAAGAAGCTAAATGATAACTCATGGATTGACTATTACAGTGCGAAAGTCTCCAATTTGGGCCACAACCGTGAACCGAAAGCAAATTTGTTTTGTTTGTCGGAGTTGTGATCATATTCATCGCTACGAATAATCATAAAGTCGAGAAGTTGTGAGCGCGAAGAGCATTCAATTCGCTATACCACTAAAAGTATTTGACGCGTGCAGTGTCCACGACGTAAGTCAAACAGACAAGTGTAAGCGGCCGAAATGCACTTTTGCAACAGCCAGTGATGGTGCAAAATTAGTGGATAGACGCGCTTACATCCGCGGGTTAGAGCTACTATCCATTGAACGAGATATACCCTTTCCACCCCAAGACGTGTCATCACTTCGTTGGGGCGGGCATTTCACAGTGGTCTTCTTATTGAGAGAGCTTGTACAGGAGGCGGTGCTTGCGTCATTGACCGAAGAACAGAGCGCTTAGTGGGGCCCTTCATCTCAATTTATGGACATCACCAGAGATGATGTGTGTAGCTGTAGCCCTACTTATATGGTCGACTACGTCTACGAAGCCCGAACGCAAGCAGTTCGTAGCATGTGGCGAAGGAATTACTTCCGTATGAGGCACTTAGCACTCGTTAGGGTCGCTTCTTACATGCAGCTCGGATTCGAAGACGCTGCAGTTTTGTCCGGAAATACGCACACGTCGTACTTGCGGGCGCTCATTGTCGAGCTATCGTAGAGATAGGTCATGTTAGGAGACCGTCGATGCAGGCAGGTGATGCTAGCTCATAAGTATAAGCCACTTAAAATGCCCTTGAGCACTCGGCAGCTTTTTGGAGTGGAAGCTAGTGATGGAGCTCAATTGAGTTCGCTTGCGTAAGAGGAGCCAGACAGATGCTTAGAGGGACAAGGAAAGATGCTTGGCCGATCTGCACCGCATACTAAGGATAGTAAGCAGAGTCTCAAGCTACTGCTACGATTTACACAACAAGCGAAAAGTGTCACACTTCCTCGAACACTGCAGGAGGTGCCTCCTGTCGCCTAGGGGCATTTGTCTAGGCGGCTGCAAATTTGCAATGTGTCATCCATAACATCTCCACCGCTACGAAAGCGTGCATCGCGTACACTTGTTCCACACACGGAAGGTCTAAGGTCTGTCTCTGACATTTTTGAGCATCAATCATCGCATCACTGTACGAATCTCGTGTCTACCATAGCAAAACAATGGGAGAGTCTAAATAAACCTAGCATTATTGTTAAATACACTGCCGCCTATCCATTAGACTTAATGTTTATATGGCAACCGTTGTTTCACATTCAGGCCACGTCACTTCGAATATTGCAGGATAAGCAGATCAGAAATGCACCTCTTACGGAGCCAGGTCACGCTTATTCTAATAAATTACAGAATAAGGTATTTAAAAATGCCTTCGCGGCCTAACACTGCAACCGTAGATAAAATATGCTGGTCCTTCATGTGCTGCATCAAAGCTTCCGTGTATAATTTTCCACCAAGTTCCTTTCTCTTTGCCTTCAAAGCGATATTGTGGACATCCTTGGCATTTATAAGGACACCTGCTTCCTTAAACTGGTTTACAATAGGCTATAATAATCACATACAGACAAAAAAACAGATAATGGCCTGCTGTATATGACTTCGATACGCACACATACCCGTGGAGCAGCTCGATCCTGATGCATCTGGACGACCTTAGAATTAATATCGTCAATTTATCGCGTCGCACGTCGCGCCGCCGGTAGCGCTGAGAGCATTGTCTTGTTGATACAACGAGCGTGGCCGGTGTATTAGTTGTCCACCAAAGTCGTTGACCAGCTAATTTCTTCGGGTGCGTGCTTTTCATACATGATCACGAGCCCGCATGAAGAGCCGATCTTTTTTTTCTTGCGATCTCGGATTGACGTGTGCCGACTGTGGGATCTCCTATGATGCTTTTTCTACCAACATGGAAGAAAACTGCGCTTGGGACCAATCGAACAGCCGCGGGATACACTAATAGCAAAGCCTTAGCAGACGTCGTCCTGATTTATAGCCTCTACAGCCGTCTTTTGACTGTCAAAAGGCCCAACCGGTGTAGATTCTTCACAGATCCATGAGAGATTAGCGGCGGCAAAATTAGGGCCAGTATCAGCTTGGAACCTAACCTGATTGTTTGCGACTACAGAATTAGTATCAGCATTAACAACCGTAGCAGTGGCAGCAGAAGTAGTGGAGGTGGGCAGAATTAGTATCAGGATTTAAAAGACCGCAGCAGTGGCAGCAGCAGTAGTTGGAGGTGGATGACCGGCTCAATATTATGCGTTAGAGGAATATTTTCTTTTTGAATCGACGTGGCTATGTAACAGGTACCTTTCTACTTGGCTTATCCTGTAATATTCGAATAGACGTGGCCCGAATGTGATACAATTATTTTCATATAAATATCAAGTCTAATGGATAGGCGCCGCTGTATTTAGCAATACTGCTAGGTGCATTTAGCCTCTCTCCCCAAAACAATGGACGTGCGACGGACCGGTGGTGCTGCAATACAAAAAATTGACACATTTCCTTCAAACGTACCAGCAGCTTTTTACATCCGACCTTTTTCGCCCAATCAGTAGCTACATACACCTGGTTGGCTGCGAGAGCTCTTCACCACGTCCTGCAACACCTTCACTAGTGCCGTCATTTACTGATTCTGTGGAGCGTCAGCAGCTGAGAAACGAATCAAGAAAATGGTGGCCTCGAAGAAGTCGGTACGGGGTGCACTCTCTCTCTCTCAATCTCTCTCTCTCGTTCACTCGCCCTTGATGGAAGTGCCCATCCGATAAACGAGGTCGCACGTCGATGAGGGTCTTTGCTAGCTCGCTCGGCTGGGTTGCCGTCTCGATGTCTCCAGCGAAGTCGGATGGGAAGAGTTCGATGGAGGAGTCGCGCGTCGTGTATTAATGTCCTTGTTGTTGTGTGCGGCATGAGCAGAAAAAGTCCTCGGACAACATCAACTCGCGGCTGCAGCTGGTCATGCGCTCGGGTAAAGTCGCCTTGGGCTACAAGCAGACGCTCAAGAACTTGCGCAGCGGCAAGGCCAAGTTGGTGATCATGGCGTCGAACACGCCTCCGCTCCGCAAGTCGGAAGTCGAGTACTACTCGATGCTTGCCAAGACGGGCGTCCACCACTTCTCGGGCACGAACAATGACCTCGGAACGGCCTGTGGCAAGTACTTTCGCGTGTCCTGCATGTGCGTCCTTGACGCTGGTGACTCGGACATTTTGCGCTCGATGCCGTCGGAGAACTAGGAACTCTGTGGAGGGTCTAGTGCTGTACATCACGTGAAGCTGAGGTCAAATGACAGTCTTTGAGGCCATGTTGTTCTTCTAGTTGTTTTCTTGCCATTGGCGTCGTGATGCATTCCGTGCCTAGAGGACAATCGGTGACAGGTGCAGGAACACTGGCAGTGTACTTACTCCAAGTGTTATGGACGATCAAAGTCTACTCCGTCGTGCGCGGATCAGGTCCACGACAACTCGATGCCATCGCTTGACTAACCTGCTTGTAGGCTGACACTTCAACTGCACAGACAGTACCTGGTCGAAGGTTCGTGCTACTGTAAAGTCGAGACGCTGTCACCTCACTTGACTCTGCAGTTGAGGGCCGCGATAGTCTTCTGGAACGACATCAAAGTCGATCGGCTCGTAGGGTTCGAGCACAACGCGCCCCTCACTACTCGAATTGTCTGCATTCACGATCGAGTCGAGTACCCGGAAGTAGGTGCAGTCACGTCCTTTGTTCGAGTCGTATGGAGGAGTGATGATGTCCAAGACTGCACAGCCAATGTCGTCCCCGCCAATGAACTCGTGCACATTCCCACGATCCGGCAGCACCTCTGTCGTATACGGAGCCGTTGCGACCTGATCCACGCACAGCCGCGCCACGTACTTCCGATCACTTGCTTCGGCGCATCTCTGGACCAGAGTGTAGGCCTTGACGTGGACCGATCCGTACAAGACCCGCGAGATGACACTCATGCCTGGATGATCGTGCAGCGGGATCCGCACACCTGGGGGCAAGATGAAGATCCTATGTAGGCATTGCAATCGAACAAGCTGCTCGTGTGACCACGTTTGTCCACGACACGAAACCCGCCGACCAGCCAAAGCGGGAAAAAAACAAAGCATTGAAACGCGTACCCGATGGAAAACGTGTCGTCTTCGTAGACGTGCTGGTAATGCACGTGTCGCGACCGCTTCAGCTCGCTACTCGGTGCCTTCAATCGAACTGCCACGCACGCAACCGGTGCATATCAAACCTTTCAGTCAGTCAGTCATTCACCAGCTCCACAACACACACACACACACGCACAGAAGAAAAAAGAGGCAGTTATGAGCGTTACAATTAGCAGCACTGAGCTGGTCGCAAATGGCTCGAATGGGTGCGATCTGCTCGAGTGTGAGTGCACGAGGCGCGCCATTGTGCTTCCACATGGCTTCAGTCAGCAAGCGGTGGATCTGCCCGAGCGCCTTTTGGCCAGCGGCCACGTCCTTGTCGCCGCCAACAGCGACGCGCCACACTGCGGTCAAAAAGCTCATCACACCGCGTGGGTAGTCAGGTAGTAAGTCAGATAGGCCGTCCGTCAGTTCGTCCCCCGTATTCGCTGGAATCTGCGACGTGTGACACGCGGAAGCGCAGTTGAGTTGTCGATCAGCAACTCACTGTCGAGACAAAAAAAAGGTGCGTACGAGAAATGGGCTCACTTTGTTTTGGTCGAACAAGTTGAAGTAGAACGGAGGGCTACAGTTTCGGCAAAGCTCCTGGTTGGCGCTCGTGCAGGTACCGGTGCCATCGGTTGCGTTGCAAGACAGAGGCGGCAATGAGCGACTGTTCCCTCGTGAACACGGACGTTGCCTCTGCTTGGCTCGCGACGTACACCAACCGCGCAAAGAGCGACGTCCGGTCGAGCTCCAGGTCGTCGTCCACGTCGTTGTGGTAATACTGAGACGACGACGCCGTGGACGCCGTCGAGCGTGAGCTACCACGCAACGTATCAGCTGTGTCCTTTCCTATCGGCATTCGCTCGACGCTGGGGGTCTGTCGTTTGATCGAGTGGAGCACGTCCCGCGCTTCGCTAAGCAATGCGCCCTCGACGTCGTCTTTCGACCCCCTCGATACCTTTTCCATTGACGACAAGTTGGACATGCAAAGGTCACTGTGGCTGCTACGGTCTTCTTCGTGGACTTGGGCCGAGATCTTGAGCGTAAAGGCTGTGAGCGACCGGTCGCTGCCGGGGATCTCCACTCCGGCCGGCTCGGTCTCGAGCCGACAGAACGCATCGGTTCGGTCTGCTGCGCTCTGTCTATTGCCAGCACAGCTACGAGCGTCCGCTCGGAGCTCCTCGATCGAACTCGAGTCCACTTTGGCGATACACACGCGACAGAAAACTGCACGCACCAAGTGCGATCTCGACGCGGCATCGCGTGCGAGAACGTTCTCTTCGAGTCGGCATTTCCTGCAGACGAAGTGGAAGTTGCACCCGGCACAGTCCTGCAGTCGACCCATGTCAAAGACCGACGGACTGTCTCGACACACGTCACAGCATCGACGACGAGGAGTTCGGCGTCGATAGCGACGAGGGGCAGGAGCAGCAGCAGCAGCAGTGAGGAGCTCGGCGAGTTTCTTGGCCCGCGTGCACTCGACGGCGTTCGTGACTGCGAGCAATAGACTCGAGACTGCAGGCGTCGAAAAGCACGACAGCGCTGCATGGTCCATCTCGCCTTGCATGTAGACAGCCACGAGGTCGTCTTGCAGCTCTTCGAACAGGTAGCAGAGCGACGTCTGCACGCGCTTGTGCGAGCTGTTGTGTCGAGACGCAGGCGGGTCTACTGACTGCATGACGTGGTAGGCCAGTCGGTTGCCGACGGTGGACCGAACAAGTCCCATCTTGTCAAAGTAGCACAAGTCGCGGTTGCGTGCCATTGCGACTTGGACTGTTGTCCACTTGACGCCCGTAAAGGCGTATGGCTCGCAGCGCGAGGAGCTCTGGACCGAGTAGAGCACGGCGCTCTCGGCAAGACGTGGGCAGTTGATGGCGTTTGTGAGCAGCATCTCCTCTGTGGTGGGGCAGTAGAGCCCCTCGAGGAGATCGTCGAAACGACCGCGAAGAGCTCCGAGACAGAGCACTGGCGTGGTCGGACCCGATGACGTTTTACGACGACGACGACCGCGAAAGAGTCGGACGCCGTGTCGCATTTGCAGCAGTTTCCATTCAGACCGGTCGACTGTATCCACCGCAGTGTTCACGTTGCGGTAGGCTGCAAGTGTCTCGATGAGCGTCTGCTCAGCGCGGTCGTGGTACCGTTCGAGTTGAGGCAGCGATAACGTGACTGCCGGATGGGCTGCTCGACGACTGCGGAGCGACATGGAAAGCGCTGGCACGGGAAGCCGATGGAGCGTGCGCTGGGACGCTCGCGAGCTGTTGAGAGGTGGCGCTGGGAGTGTCATCGACGAGGCAGATGCAACAATGACATGACGAGCGCACTGTCCTGTGAGGTAGTGGAGAACTGTCACGGAATGGTCGTGGTACCCTGAGCCGAATGAGTGTCCGGCCCGAACGTGTCCGACATGAAGAGTTGCGAAGGTCTACGTCTGCTCTTCCTGTCGTGGTGGACCTCATGTCGAGGAGTGTCTGCAATGAATCAGGTGGGACCTGGATGTAAGGAGCAAGTTGTAGCGTTGATGACAGCTTCGAGTACCTCGGCAGTTGCTTCACGTACAGGCGCTTGATTGTTCGTGGCAAGCGTCTCGAGGCGCTTGCTGGACGTCAACTTGCTCGAACGTCGTTGATACATGTATCCAGCAGTATGGTCAAGCACGACCTGCACTGCAACATGGACCGTTGGACGATGGTCAGACGAGCCTTGTGGAAGCAGCAGGCGGCGGTGGGCTACATCTGCGACCGTCCGAGCTGCCGCTGTGTCCGCCAGTCAATGCAGATGGGCACCGCCGAGGGCACACATGGACTGGAACTTTTTATTGGTGTTACTGGCAGTGCTCGTGTGGGACGACGCGTGCACCTGTCGCCAGTAAACTGTTACTGGTACAGCGCACTGCAACCACGAGACACGGAGTTGTAGCTTTCCAGTGCACCTCCTCTCGAAGACACTCGTAGGTAACGTCGACACGATTGTCAGGCGTTTCGTCGTGACGAAGGAAACAGTCGAGCCCCATCACGGTCGATCCGATATCAGGACAAGTCGACGACCACTCTTTGCCGACTGTACACCCCCTGTCAACATCAAGACGAACGCACGGGATGGATTCACGCCCGCTACTTCCTGCTGCAGGATCGAGCCTCAGTGTGCAATCATCGCTCTCTCGCCAAGAGCAGACAACTCGATCATGGACAACGAGGCCATTACGTTCTCAGGGACGCTCCAAGTCCGAGCGTGTCACGCGTTTTGGTAAGCCGAACCGCTATGATTCTCACGCGAGCACTACTGCGCACGATCTCTCTAACACCTCTGCCTCGATGACTGATCTACAGGAAAAAGACGCCCGTGCACTTGACAACTTGTCGAAAGGACTATCGCTCCGAGCTGCCAGTGCTGCTAGTCCGACGATCGCGTGTGCTTGGCGGCGAGTTCCGCGTCCCGCTCGATCCGTGCGTCCACCCGGTGCGTCTTCTGCCTACCACGAGGAAAATGGCGGCCAAACACGAGCTCGCGCTTGCGTACGGATGGCACAGCAAACGTGTGCGTCTACGAGCCCCTAATGTTACGACGTATCGCCAGTGGATGCGTCTCGTACGAGCAGCACTGGAGTCCGGACGGCGACCACTGGTCCCGTGTTCACCCACTGGACCTCGACAGGATCTCGAGTGCTCGAGTCTCGCATCCACTATGACCAGCAGCAACAATACCAGCACTTCAAGAAGCACCACCACCATCACAGTCGACCAGCCGCTACAAGAAGAAGAAGAAGAAGAAGAGGAGCAAGAAGTAGAAGGAGACGTGTCCAGTGACAGAGAACGAGGCGCCCACCACTTTTGCGACTACAACGGCATCACCTCCGAGTGGCAAAATTGTAGCGCGTCGTTCGATACAGAGCAAACGACTGATCATCACCGGAGCACGGCATGTCGTGTCAATGAGGCCGCAGCGCCTCTTTGCATTGCCGATCTTTGTCGAACAGCCGTCGGAAGCTGTCGCTCTGGTCGACGCGAACGAGAGGTGCAGCACGATCACCGACTTGACCCGTTCGATTGGTCGTCGTCGTGTTGTGTTCCTGCATCGTTCGCCGAACGTTCCCCCGCCAGTGCCTGGCGGCACAAATCGTACCTACGAACATTGAGCTTTTCGTGGTGGACAGCGACGTTATCGAATTTGACAGGGGATACATGACGCGAACTCATTGCAAACTCCAAAGTAAACAGCACCGACGCCAATGGTTGTGGCGCAGCTGTTGGACGCGCGTGTGCAGTTTGTGCGCGCAGGAGCTCGCTCGGCACGCACTATTTCGAAAGTGTACTTGAATCCGAGTGACATGGCGCAATGTGCGCTCGAATCCGGTGCGTATGTGCAGCTCTATACGTCTGCGAAGGACCGCACTGTCGTTGGAAAGCTGCTCCTCTGTGGGCTCGCGTGGCCCATGGACAAGATCAAGCGACGTGGCGTCGGGCTCAGCTCCATGTGGGAAGCGACATTTGCCGGGCAACGGATTGAGATTGTGACTGTGGCGACGTTGCAGGAGAACGCCATCTTCGTCGCGAAAAGCGTCGTGCTGCAGGTGGTGAATAGGGCGTCGACGGCTGATCGAAAGCTCTCGGAGAAGGAACGCGCGCTATTGACGCAGTGTGTTGCGGCAATGATCGATGGAGCGCTGTTGCACCACGACGCGTTGCTTTTGCTGCCAGTCCACGGGACAAACACTGTCTTTCGTGTCGAGATGGTGGATGGAAAGCAGAGAGATAGCGAGCAATGTATTGTGAAAGTCATGGTAGCAAAAACAGCGTTTACAATCATGTGGGATGCGCAGGAGAAGACCGATGCAGCGCTGGAAGCACAGACAGGTGGCAGAAGATCTGTAGACGAAACAAAAGGGGCAAAGCAGGACGGGTTTGCAGCTATTGGTGGACTGCAAGAAGAGCTAAAAGCGGTTCGAGAAGTCGTGGAACAATCGCTCACTCATCCAGAGACGTTTGAGCGGTTTGGTCTGCCTGCGCCAAAAGGCGTCTTGTTGTTTGGACCGCCTGGTACAGGGAAGACGTTGATCGCAAGGGCTCTTGCGCGGGAGCTGAAGGCGCGCGTGTTTACGATCAACGGCCCAGAAGTTGTGAGCAAATTCGTTGGCGAGAGTGAAGCAAACTTACGAGCGGTGTTTGCCCAGGCTGCTCGAGAGGCTCCGTCGCTCGTGTTTATTGATGAGTTGGATGCTATTTGCCCAAAGCGCGACGCGCGCGCGGGCGATATGGAACGACGTTTAGTGGCGACTTTACTTACCCTCATGGACGGTCTGAGCTCCTCTCGTCAAGTCGTTGTGCTAGCTGCTACGAATCGACCCAACGCTCTGGATCCCGCCGTGAGAAGACCAGGCCGTTTTGATCGCGAAGTGGAGATTGGTATCCCGAAAGCCAACGACCGCCTCGCGATTCTGCGTGTAGCCCTGAGGCGGCTACCGCACAAACTGACCGATTCGGAGCTGCAAGAGTTGAGCTCAAGCGCACATGGGTATGTCGGGGCTGATCTCAGCGCTCTTTGCAAAGAAGCCGCGCTGCTAGCACTCCATCGTGCATATGCGGACAGGGGTGAGTCAAGTGGCGCTATGTTGTCCGATAGCAAGCCCCTGCCACGCTTTGAAGTCACTCTGAGTGACCTCAAGGTCGCAATGCAAGGGATCCGACCAAGCGCTTTGCGGGAGATCTCAGTCGATGTGCCCCGTGTGCTCTGGAGCGACATTGGCGGACAAGACGCGCTCAAGCAATCGCTTCGTGAAGCAGTGGAATGGCCGTTGCAACACCCGGAAGCTTTCACGCGTATGGGCATCCGTCCTCCAAAAGGTGTGCTTCTGTATGGCCCTCCAGGCTGTAGTAAGACTCTGGCAGCAAAGGCTTTGGCCACTGAGAGCGGGATGAACTTTATTGCCATCAAAGGCCCAGAGCTGTTCAGCAAATGGGTCGGCGAGTCAGAGCAACAAGTACGTGAAGTGTTTCGAAAAGCACGCGCTGCTTCGCCAACTGTGGTGTTTTTCGACGAGATCGATGCACTTGCCAGTACTCGTGGATCCGGAGGCAGTAGTGGCGCTTCCGATCGCGTGTTGAGTCAGCTGCTGACTGAGCTGGATGGACTCGAGCCACTGAAGCGTGTCCTAGTGGTGGCTGCGACGAACCGGCCCGATCTTCTCGACTCAGCATTGATGCGGCCAGGTCGCATCGACCGCGCACTCTACGTGTCCCCTCCAGACGTCCCTGCTCGTGAGCAGATTCTGCGTATCCACACGCGACGAACACCATTGGCATCGGACGTGAGCATAGCGGAATTGGCTATTGCAACTGCTCAGTTTTCAGGTGCAGAGCTTCAAGCGCTCTGTCGTGAAGCTGCTCTCAACGCGGTCGAAGAAGATCGAGCGGCCGTGCATGTAGCAAAGCGGCATTTTCTTCGAGCACTATCTGTGGTAACGCCGCAGATCGACGAGCGAATGTTGGCCTTCTTTGAGCGGTTCCGTGATGGCCGGCGGAGGTAGTAGCACTTATGTCAGTATGCAGACGTAAGCCGTTACAGACACAAGTGTATCGGAATAGACATCTAAATATCGTTGTCGAGAATGCAAACAGTACGGGTTTATGTTGTCAACAGGAACTTGTTGCCACAAAGCGATCAAAGCTACGCAGTACGTGACTTATCATCCTTCGTCAATACAGGTCGTTATTAACTTACTTGCAATTTCTAGCTCGAAACCACCACTGCAATCTCATTCTGCAAGCACAGCTGCTGCTGCAACATAACAACGTTCATCCAAAGTGCTACTTTACATAAGACTGATTATCAGCACAGTCGAATGATTGTTACGCACGATGCGCTGAGGCTACTCCGTATCTGGGATGTACGCACGCCGTTGTATACAAAGTCGTCGGGACATGCCACGTAAAAAGACGCTGGAGAAGGACATTGATGTATTGCAACCCTTTGGGCTATCGAATACCACTCATGTGCTCTTAGAAACATACATCGAATGGCACATTTGTGGCTGCGAGCTGCATTGTATTCAAAGCACACGCAAGCTTTTCGGTGTCGCGGCTTATAGTTTGGGCACTATATTGTCTTCTGTTACTGGATGTTGCTGATGCCATTGCTGCATCAGGATCGTCAGTCGATTGTGATCGCCTAGTGAAGTACACATAGAGCCATGCTTGCTCTTCTACCCCTTCGAGCGTTTGTGCAGGACAGACATTGTTAACGCGATTGCGCTCTGCACGGTAAAACTGATCATCAACTTTCACATGTTGTCATTGTTGCGCCGAGATCGATCTCACATGCAATATTGCTCGTGTCCGAGACTGGAGAAGTGGGTTTCTGCTCTTTGACCAAAATGAGGTCCATTTCTTGCTTGTCAAGTGCCATCATTTGACTGCAGCAAGTGACAATTGCACGGACGCTCGTATTCCATTCATTAATCGTTCATTCCTTCTACTATCCATTGCTTGGCTACGCTTAAGCCCAACTTTGTTCTTACGCAGGTATTTTTTTATGCGAAGGCAGATGTGCTGGACTGGCGCTTGCAGTTTATGAACTTGGCACGAGCGATACTCGACCAACAGTGCAACAATAGTTGACGGTCGGTCTCTGTGCAGTGCAAAATTTATATATTGATGTCACAATTACTTTTATATTTGGCGTGAGGAAGTTGTTTGTGGAGAAACTGGCAACCGTCATGGTGACGCTTGTGTCAGATTTGTTCCAACGTATAAAATGGATCTGCGATGTTCGGGTAGCCCAAATGTATCGTCCACATCACAAGCTCGCTGAGGTAGCCAGGTCCTCAGTCAGCAAACAACGTTTCCAGGCTTTCGCCAGTGTGTTGGCATAAGACCATAAACTTCGTAACACCTGCAGCGGCTTCAGCCGAATCAATCATTACGCATAATGAAGCAACGCGTACTGCCTGAGAGCAAACATCACACGGAAAGCGACAGCTTTGATTCCATGTCCATGCATCGAACTCCAGTGTCAACATCAAACCGATCTTTCGGCTGCTGCCGGAGCACTGCTGTCTGCTGCTATACAGCAAATTTGCTGTCGTCAAAACTCTAGACTGCATGGCATAAGGTGCTGTCTCCTATAGACGTAGTAGTCACAAAGAGTCATTGAGGTCAATCAGACGGTATAAACGTCCGAGCTGCGGTCTCTTGACGCGTGAGTGACTGCTATCGACTGAAACAGATCGACTGCCATACACACAGAGACAATCGACGCTTAACACTTTGATATTTGCAGTCAGGCAATGACGTTCCCGAATCAAGCCAGCTACGCTCCAGGTCTCCATCGAATTGACCCCAACGGCCTCGTCAAGCCGGCGCAGTTGCGCAGGTCTTCAAGGACTGCAACGGAAATTGCTGGCATGAAGCAGGAACTCCAATTGATGCTGACGACGCTGTCACCCGAGCACGAGAGAGCGGTCCCTTTGCCGCAGGCGATGCCGACCAAGAGTGAGAGTTTAGCCAACGTGGAACATAGCTGCACCCGCTTACTCGAAGATCCAATCTTTCAAGGAGTCGAGGGCTACAGGTACACGTTATCCGAGAACGAACCTGGTGCTGTCAGCTTATTGCCAGCAGTTGGGGATACAACTTCACGAGTCGATCAAATGACGACATCACCACACACTCGGACCTCCCTGTATGCAAAGGCCTCTACAGCTCGCTCTGGTGTGCCCAAGAAACGCTCCAATCTTTCAAAAGTGTCCAAGCAATTGATGCACGACTGGTTCGAGCACAACTTGCACCATCCATACCCGACTGAACAGGAGAAGCTATGGCTCGCTGAGCGTGGAGACATCACGATCGAGCAGGTGAGCAATTGGTTCATCAATACTCGCGGTCGCAAGTGGAAACCGATGCTCAATCGACTCATGGCTGAAAAACAGGCCGGGGACTGCAAATTGCTTGACTTGATGGTACGGAAGGTCGAAGAGCCGTATCGCAAGGTTGTGTAGAGGCGACTGAGTGAATTGGATAGCAGTGCAGAATACATAATGGCCATCGATGGTGACCAGAGGTCTATCTGGATATGCTTCGCTGTGTAGATCAGTAATCAAGCTGTGGAAGAGAGATCGCGTGCCCCGACGAGACACTTGGCTGCTTCTCACGGCATCTTGTCCTTATGCATCACCGCTTTGCCATGAACAACTCATTGCCAGGCCGTCGGATCAACAGTCTCCTTCAACTGTTGATGCCAAACCTTGAGATCTTTTCGTTGCTTTCTGCGTTCATGCAAGCAAAGTGCTTGTAAACATCGAGAAGAAGAGTCGCGCCTGCGTGAGTAGATGAAGACGTAGTTGGCGCTTGCTGTCACTGTTCATGTAGATGCAGTTCCGAGCATAGTTTTCCTATTTGTTACCCCACTTCATGTTTGCATGAGTGCTTTGTCGCGCAGCGGTCTCGCATCTTGTCATCTGTCAATAGTAAACAGGTAAATGATTACAAGTGTGTTTCCGAAGCTTGACGACATCACCCTATCGGTCGTCATGTTTGAGCCGGTGCAGACCATTACCGCTTTGGCGTATCATGCTGACTCTCCCACCCCACACTAGCGAATAGCTCTTTCTCACCTCAGTGATGCTGCCGTCGACATTTTCTACTTACCGCTGCACCCATCCGCCTCGTATGTGAATTGCGACAGCTACTGCCCCTCGCCCATCATCCGGGCTTCTCCATGACCAACGACTTCCCAACTTGTTACGCCTACGCCAGCTTAAAGGACAGTTCTACCAGTTGCGATCTCATCTCAAAAACGCCACCATCAACACTCGAAACACAGCACATTTGCAAAGAAGACAGAGATACCTCCACTCTGAAAAAGTATAGTAGTTGATGAAACCTGATGCCCACAATAGTCCAACGAGCGCGTGAGGCGCTGAGCAGCCACCGCTTCGCCTGACACGAAGACAAAAAGCCGTCTCATCAGCAATCGCTCGTGCCACATTTTCCTGTCTGCCTCATCACCCACCACTCGCTCCCTACTTCACGCCCGCACATCCAAAGCTACAGCACTTTCCTCCACTCTTCTCTCCTTTAGCCACTGCATTTTCCCCACACGGCCAGCTCCTTCGCACAGTTTCCCATCCAAACTCGCGTCTACTCTTCCTTCTTGACATCCAGCGACTCGAGTGCCTTGGCGGCATCGTCGCCTGCCGACGTGTCAGCGGCATCCGCGCCTTCCTCGAGCTTCTTGTTGTTGGCCTTGGCAGCATCGTGGGCCTCTTTGAACTTCTGGGCGTTCTCGGCGCTGCCAAAGCGCAGCGCAAAGACTTGCGTCTCGACCACGCCGTCCGCAAAGTCGTAGCAGCTAAAGACCCACGCGCGGTCGCTGCCCATGTTGGGCGTGAGCTCCGTCCGCGACTCGATCAAGTGGTTGATCAGGATCTTGTGCGTCTTCTCCTGGCGCATGAGCATGCGCACCTTTTGGTGCTCCTTGTGCTTGAGGAAGCGCACGTCACCGACGCCACGCTCGCACCACGATTTCTTGCCCGTGCCCTTGTCCAGCAGCGTCTCGCGGTAACAAAAGACCTTCGTACGCCTACACAAAGCACAGGAACACACCCCATTTGTTCAGTCATTGTCCCTTGTGCATTGCAACAACGTCCATTGGGGCCCCTTCCCACACGTACTGCTTGAACAAAACCTCCTCTTCCTCTTCGCCCGTCGTGACCTCCACCTCGTCAAGCTTCACCACAGGCTCAAAGTACGCCTGTGGCTCGTCCGACTCGGGCGCGACCTCATTCGTCGACGCGCTCGTCGTCGTCGTCGTCTCGTCCACGTTCTTCTTCTCCTCCGCGTCCGCCATCCTACTGCTGATCTTTCGAGTTGGCTTTACGACTGACTGGTGGCGGGGGCGTCGTAAAGCGATACCAAGCGAGCGCTTAAGTCGCTCGCTCGACTCGTGAATTGTATGCCGCACACGCATGCGACTTAAGCGAAAGAGCGTAAGTGCGAAGCGCTTAAATTTGCCAACGTGGCGCGTCTTTTTTGCTGTCCCGCCGGCAACCTGAGCAGCTACGCCGGACGCGACGCACGTCCTGTTTTTGCACTCTTTCGTTCTGGTTGGCTGAAATGCATTCCACAACAAGCAGAGCGTACGCTGTTGTCGCCGGTCGGTCAGTCGGTCGGTCGATCGTCGGCCCCTCGTGCCGCTGCATGGACGTCAAGAAGCGAACGGAAACAGCAGTTGCAGCAGCAGCAGAAGAAGGCGCACGAGTTGCAGACGCATCTGCTCGAAAACGCAGGAAGCCGCGCCACTCTGCATGCGACAAGAGCGAATTTGTGAGTGTGGAAGTGGGTATGCGGGAGCTAAAGCGACGTCTGGAAGCTGCACCAGAAGACGTTGTTGAAGCTGTTGCTGCTGATGCTACTTTTGATTCTGTGGCGAATGCGGCTCTGGCAACTCGAGTGCAACGTGCAACAAGGGAAGATAGGGGGCCGGTGTACAAAAAATCGCGTCGAGTCAAGACGAAGACAGTGCTGGTAAAAAGCGCTGTTCCTATGGACCGAGAAACGAATGGCGTAACATGTAGAGCTGATGAGGATGGTGCTGATGCTGTTGTGTCGAAGATGACGCTGGCAGAAGTAAAGCAGGAGCTCAAACGTGAGCAAAGAGAGAGGGTGGAGACACGCGTCCAGGCGCTGCAGCAGAGAGCTGAGACGAAGGCTGCTGACTCTTCATCGACTCCTCGCGCACGGATTGATCGATCGCGTGGTTGTTTGCAACAAGTGCGAGGTAGTGGAGGTAAGCCGCTGGTTGATGGCAATCAAGTGATGGAAGCAACAGCGGCGTCGATGTTTGTGATGCCAGAAAACAATGCAATACACGCAGTAAGTACCTGTTTGGCAGGCACTGCCACCTGTCTGATGCCGATCGAAGCTGGTGCTGTATCATCGGTTGAGCCATTGTGTGAAGATGAGTTTATTGCCGAGGACATGGACGAAGATGCAGTTTTTGCAATGGCCCTTGAAGAGGTGGAAAAGAAGCTGACAACGTCTCAAACGTCACCACCGCCTTGTACTAAAGCTGTGAGTTCTACCGACTTGAAGTCCGTAGCACCGCATAGTCTTCAGGTGCCGACAGCCTCTCCGATTTCCGTGCAGTCGGCGATTATAGAACCACAAGTACAGCAGCAGAGGCAGCCAGAACAGGTTCTTGGAGCTACTCAGCAACAAGCGACAGAGGCCATGCAGATAGAAGCGACACCAGAGATCCTGAAAGAGATGGAGCACTTGAGGCGCGAGAATGAGTTCCTCAGGCGGTCCAATGAGCTCCTTCGAGCCGCTGCTCTTACGTCGCCACTGCCGCAAGCAAACGATGTTGGAAACGAGCAACCTCGCGCGTCGCCTGATCATATGTATAGTCAAAACGTTTTGGACTCTTTGCGCGAGGATACTTCACCCGGTACCGTGCCTCGTAGTTCCACGACTCGATTCCTCAACTTGACCAGATGTGATAACGAACAAGATATGGAGCCTATGGTTCCGTCTTGGGAGACTCACTGCATTCAGGAACAGGTTCATGCGACAAACGCTCGTTTGCCAGTGAGGGAAACGTCTCCGTCAAATGCACAAGGCAAAGACACAATGTTAAATCTCAGCAACGAAGATACGAATTCAATAAGGGGCCGGCGCATGGTCAAAGATGAAAAGATATGTGAGCCCGGGATAAGTGCAGAACACAAGTCAAAGCTGCCAGGTAGAGCGTCGTCGCAACATCTCGCGGCGGCGACTGGTCCGTCCACGGCCATGGAAGACGGGCGCTTGTCTGCAACCGAGTTTGCATCTGATCAGGGAAATGGGACCGCTCAACTAACACGGTCGCAATCACGGGAGATGTCCTCATCAGCTGAGACCGCGCATGGCCGCTGTGCTCAGGCCACTACTGGAAGCGGTGGTGTCGATGAACGGGATGTCAGTATGCTCAACGTCGACGAAAGAGATTCTAGAATCGGCGGAGACGACCGGGACGAAGAAGAACAAGAAGTCAATGGTGACCGATCGACTGAGCGGGAGTCCACAGTGGACTGTGGGAGCCACGCAGAGTACAAGGTTCGACGCGAGTATGACTACGATACTGCTCATGCTGCTGACAAGCACACGGATGAGGTTCGTGATTTAAAACCATGTGCTTTGGCGGACAAGATCGATACCGCACACGCATCAGCGACCCACGCCGGCTCGGACTTATCGGACGCGGTACGAAATGACATGCCGCAATATGCCTATAAGCGACATGCACCAGCGCATACTGAACACCTCGAGCGAGCTACTGCACCTCACAACGCAGACAGCGAGGGTGGTTCGGTCGAAGATACAGTGACGTGTATGGAATCGATGGATCATCGAGAAGGCGTTGCATCTGCCCCCGTCTTGTCGGAAGGTGAATCTGAAACCGAAAGCGATGAAGATATGAAGAATGACAATGATGGTTCGAATGTATTAGAAGCCGCTCTGAAAGCAGCAGGAGGCGATTCGGACCACAGAGATCGCGCTCAGCCACGTTCTGTGTCGAGGGACCGACAATTTGTGCCAAAAAACTGCCGATCGGTAGCCGCATTGGACTCATTACCTCTACTACCAGCAAATAGTAGTGCGAAGAAACTTAAGTCTACGAGTACTTCCTCGGTGAGCACCAAAAAACTGCCGAGTACAACAGGCTCTTTGCTATGGCCAGCGCTAGACGATTTTTACGACTTTTTGCTCGACATGTCACCGAGGAATATCCGTGGGTGTTCCGAGCAAAAGAGAGTCCACTTGAAGAAATACGCTGGCAAGAAGCTGCCGGCTCAGCATAACTCGGTCGAGGACTATTGCAGCCTGCAACTCGAGGCTGTCATGGAAGAGTTGATGGCTTCAGTAAGCAATGCAACGAACACGAGAGCTAGCGGAAGATCAAGTCTAGCCCGTCACTTGTCGCTCACGTCAGTATCGTCTTGCGACTCACAAAGAGGTTCTGCGGCAATGAATGGACTGAGTGTTGCTGCCATTTTCTCCGAGAGTGGCTATACTGGGACCACTTCCTGCAGCGACGACTTCGTGCTCACTTTTGATCTCCCTGCGCATGGCAAGAAGAATGCATCGGACTTTACAAGCGGCGATTTGTTACTCGTGCGCTCTCCTCGCTGGAAAACCTACAACATGTGTGTTTTCGGTGTGGTTTTGTGCATCTCAGCAGGGTCCGTAGGAGGAAAAGGAGGTGCTTCGGGGAGTGACTGCAGAGGCAGTCGAAAAGGCGACAAGATGTGTGTGCTCATGCGTGCTCACGCGCGTGATCAAGGGGAGACAGGAGATACGTTCAGCGTGTTGACTGAGCTGTGTCTATCGAATCAGCGCGCACCGAATTGGCGATGGTCGCTCGAACAAGTGCACAATATTACCACAAGTGCGCGCGAGTACCAAGCGATCCGAACCATTCCGTTCTTTTCCAAGGATCTGCAACAGTTGCTATTGCGCGGACGTGTGGAAGTCCCGACTGCTGAGCCTACTTCCGACAACAACGCTGCGGCCTCGTCTTCAGTACTTTCGCCACGATTGCGGAAGTACCTGCTCGAGCACTATAATGACTCACAAGTGCAAGCGATCGTCGGGTGTTTGCGAGACAATAGCAGAGTCATTGTTCAAGGACCGGTGCGTTTCGCTCTCGTATCTTTTTCCAGCGTTGTAATGCGGGAATTTAGGATCATGTTGGTTGTGTCTGTGTGCAACGTTTTCCAGCCAGGCACCGGTAAATCCAAAACAGTCCTGGGACTTCTCTCTGCTTTGCTGGATGGTGGTGGGTTACCTTCTGTCGGGAAAGCAAAAGGAACAGCGCGTATTCGAGTCGGAGCGTCGCTCGAAAGCGCTCAAAAGTCCGCTATGCCCAAGACAGGAGCTGCGACATCGATTCGAATCCTCGTGGCTGCACCCAGTAATGGAGCTGTCGACGAGCTGGTTGTCCGGGTCCTTTGTGAAGGCTTGTTCGATAGTGAGAAGGGGGAGTACTTCCATCCACGCATTGTACGCGTCGGTCGCCCCGAAAGTGACCAGCAGCTATCAAGTGTAGCAGCAGCTGCCCGGGAACGCAGCGACGACAAGGCGAACGGCAAAAAAAAGCGAAAGTACGCGCACGCGGTTGAACAGGTCCTGCTTGACACGCTCGTGACAAAGCATCGAAGTTCGTTTTCGACCGTGAAGCAGACCCGTCAGGCAGTCATCAAGAATGCGCAGATTGTGTTCTGCACGCTGAGTGGAGCTGGCTCCGCGGCCATGTGTGAGTTTGCACAAGACTTCGATGCACTCGTCATCGATGAGGCGGCTCAAGCAGTTGAGGCGAGTACGCTGATCCCGTTCAAGTTCCGTCCACGTCGAGTGGTGCTAGTGGGCGACCATCGCCAGCTGCCAGCAACGGTGATTTCGAAACAGCTCGTCTCCATGGGATACGACCGGAGTCTGCAGCAGCGCCTTGTGGAGAACAACTCGCCCGTGTTGCTGCTCTCTCAGCAGTACCGAATGCATCCTGAAGTCGCTGAATTTCCATCGGCCTATTTCTATAGTCGACGGCTCGTGCAGGATGACAACATGCGCGAATGGACTGCACAGGACTACCACAGTGACTCGGCTTTCAAGCCGTTGCTGTTTTACGATGTGCACGGAGCCCAAAGCCAAGTCACCGGATCCACGTCATTGCGTAACCTGAACGAGGTCGAAGTTGTGACGCAGCTCGTGCGTCGGCTGCTCGACCGGTTCCCACACAAAGAGTGGAAAAATCGTATCGGTGTGATTGCGCCGTACAAGCAGCAGATCCACGAGGTGCGCGGTGCGATCGGGAAACTTGAGGCTGCGTTTGATTGCCGGCTGGACATTGATGTGAACACTGTGGACGGCTTCCAGGGTCGGGAGAAGGAGATTATCATTTACTCGTGCGTCCGTACCAGCTACGGGGGCCGTCGACCGAAAAAGAGGCGGAGACACAAAAACGGCACGGACGACAATGTCCTCGATGCTTTCTGGGCCGACGAGCGCCGCATGAACGTTGCGATCACTCGCGCCAAGAGCAGTTTGTGGATTGTCGGGAACTCGACGCTGCTGAAGCAAAGTCGTGCGTGGAAAGCTCTCATCCAGCACACGAAAGACCACGACCGGTACATTCGCAACACTGCTGCCTTTTTGGCCTCGACTGGCCGCGACTCGAAGAAATAGTCGACATCTGTCCAGTTTACTGAAGCTGTCTCGTGTCGATGATTTGCACGGAGTTTGCGCTGTTGTAAAGAAGATACAGTTTTGACATGTTGCAGCGCTGGACGTTTGACCTGACACTGCTACGGAAAGGAAAACAACGTGGACCTGGAACCCCACACTGCAAGCACCAGACGAAACGAAGTGGCGAGCGGGTCCTGTCGTGTTTACATAAAGAGCACTCGGAGTGGCTACAAGCAGTGTGTCGGCTAAAAGTTCATTGTCTGATGTATCTTCTCAGTCGCTCATTTGCTTGTGGTTCGGTGCCGTACAACAGATCGTGGATTTGGGTTATATTGCGTCCTTGACGATAACCGCACACCCCAAAGCGCGTCGTGATCGACGTACCTGGCCAGGATGACGGCAATTGAAGCTGTAGCAAGGTCTGTAAGCTCGGCATCATGTTGGATGCGTTGAGTGATCGCCGAAATACTGGTTTACAGTAGGAGGTATGTAACGTTGTGAGGGAATAATACCCCATGAAGGAGTGCCCTGATACCAACGGAATTGTAGTTTGCAATGACGAACAAATCCTGAAACCAGCAGTAGATTTGTGCAAAAGTCCTGAAACCAGCACCAGTTCTAAGACGAGACCACGTCCAGCCGAAATGATGGGGACCACACCATCATTTTATGTAAACCACACAATTATTTGTGTGGTGTATTAATTAAGTTAGATTTATGTATAACATATAATAAACTCATTAAGTTGTCCCCCAAAATGGCGACGATTGACATGGAAGAAATTTACGGTACTAAAGTACTGTCGATGTGACACATATTCCAGACCGCTGCTGCAACTATGTTAATACAAGACTACTGTTTTAATCAAAATAAACAGTGCAAGGTCAAGAGGGGCAGTGGTGGGAGCAAGACATATGCGTGTCCACAAGACGGGTGCCCGTGGGAAGTCCGCGTGACGAGGCGACAGCGAAAGAATGCATCTTCGGAGCACAACATTTCGACGCTGAATGATATTCACTCGGATGTATGCTTCGCGACTGCCAAGCCTTCAGCACGTCGAATCAAGCTTTTTCCTACTTTAATTGTAACGGGGCACACCCTTGCGTAACTTAACGCAAGGGATTTGGGTGCCCCGACGGACGTACACGTGGCGAGCGAGGAAGCGTAGGTAGGGTAAAAGTAGAACTGTTATATTAATAAATTAAGTCTTTAAACTACTGTCTCTTCGTTTGACTTAATTCAATTATACTAATATAACTGCATGTATGGTGACGTCTCGTCACCACTCATTGCGCGCGTCTTGCGGCGATTGGTGGGTTGATATC